AGCCTCAGGCCCCTTCCTTCCCCCCCCCCTCACATTCACAGCTTGCTTACATTATTTCTCCCCAGGAACACTATAAGCTGGTCGTTGCAGATGTCCCTTCTCCACATGTGTCTCTTGATACTGGGCATGGGCCAACTTGGGTCCTCCAAGTGTTTTCGACTCCAACTCCCACCATTTCTAACAGCCTCAGGCCCTTTCCTTTTTCCCCTTAGCTGCTGAGGGGCTGAGGGGGAAAAGGAAGGGGCCTGAGGCTCTTAGGAATGGTGGGAGTTGGAGTCCAAAACACCTAGAGGACCCAAGTTGGCCCATGCCTGGTGTAGGCATTGCTCCACAGGGGTCTTCTTTCCAGAAGAAATGCGGGGTGTACTTTGTGTTGGGCTAGTGGGCTTACTAACAAAAAACCGTCCTCAGAAATGCACAGCAGAGTAACTTATCAGCAGCAGCGTGACCCAGCACCAGTAGCCCAAAGTGATAAAAAGGACAAAAAGCACACAGACCAATGTTATCTCTTCCATAGGAAGCTTTTCTTTGTTGTACCATTTACAAGAACTAGGTTTCCATAACAGAAATACATAGTAGCTTTACACGTAACAGCCTTCATACTGGAGCTTTCTCACGCGAGGCGTCTCTCACACAGAGGTTTGCCTCACTCTCCTCAGGACGACACTAGCTTTGGTCTACTAACAGGCTTCGGCCTACTAACTCTTTCATTGCTTTACTAACGTAAAATAATATGGTTGCACTATTTACAAGAACTAGGTTTCCATAACACAAACAAATATATAGAAGCCTTCACACCGGAGATTTCTCACACGAGGCTTCTCTCACACAGAGGTTTGCCTCACTCTCCTCAGGACGACACTAGCTTTGGTCTACTAACTAACAGGCTTCGGCCTATCAACTCTTTCATTGCTTTACTAACATAAAATAATATGGTTGCACCATTTACAAGAACTAGGTTTTCATAACACAAGCAAATATATAGTAGCCTTCACACCGGAGCTTTTTCACACGAGGCTTCTCTCACACAGAGGTTTGCCTCACTCTCCTCAGGACGACACTAGCTTTGGTCTACTAACTAACAGGCTTCGGCCTACCAACTCGTTTTCATTGCTTTACTAACGTAAAATAATATAGTTGCACTATTTACAAGAACTAGGTTTCCATAACACAAACAAATATATAGTAGCCTTCACACCGGAGGTTTCTCACACGAGGCTTCTCTCACACAGAGGTTTACCTCACTTTCCTCAGGGCGACACTAGCTTTGGTCTACTAACTAACAGTTTTCGGCCTACCAACTCTTTCTTTGCTTTACTAACATAAAATAATATGGCTGCGCTATTTACAAGAACTAGGTTTCCATAACACAAACAAACAAATATATAGTAGCTTTCACACCGGAGCTTTCTCACATGAGGCTTCTCTCACACAGAGGTTTACCTCACTCTCCTCAGGACGACACTAGCTTTAGTCTATTAACTAACAGGCTTCGGCCTACCAACTCATTCATTGCTTTACTAACGTAAAATAATATGGTTGCACTACTTACAAGAACTAGGTTTCCATAACACAAACAAACAAATATATAGTAGCTTTCTCACATGAGGCTTCTCTCACACAGAGGTTTACCTCGCTCTCCTCAGGACGACACTAGCTTTGGTCTACTAACTAAGAGGCTTCGGCCTACCAACTAAGAGGCTTCGGCCTACCAACTCTTTCATTGCTTTACTAACATAAAATAATATGGCTGCGCTATTTACAAGAACTAGGTTTCCATAACACAAACAAACAAATATATAGTAGCTTTCACACCGGAGCTTTCTCACATGAGGCTTCTCTCACACAGAGGTRTACCTCACTCTCCTCAGGACGACACTAGCTTTAGTCTKTTAACTAACAGGCTTCGGCCTACCAACTCATTCATTGCTTTACTAACGTAAAATAATATGGTTGCACTACTTACWAGAACTAGGTTTCCATAACACAAACAAACAAATATATAGTAGCTTTCTCACACAAGGCTTCTCTCACACAGAGGTTTGCCTCACCTCCTCAGGACGACACTAGCTTTGGTCTACTAACTAACKGGCTTCGGCCTACCAACTCTTTCATTGCTTTACTAACATAAAATAATATGGTTGCACTATTTACAAGAACTAGGTTTCCATAACACAAACAAGCAAATATATAGTAGCCTTCACACCGGAGCTTTCTCACACGAGGCTTCTCTCACACAGAGGTTTGCCTCACCTCCTCAGGACGACAATAGCTGTGGCCCGCTAACGTAACAGGCTTTGGCCTACCAACTTTTTCATTACTTTACTCACACTTTTGTAATAAAAAATACCCAGTTAATTTTCAATATTTCTGACACTTTGGACCACTGCTTCTTAAATTACTTGATAAGGGGTACTAGTACCCCCCCCCCCCACACACACACACACACTTCTTGTACAGGAATTGGCATGGTATTTTTGACCATTGGCTGCAGCTGCTTCATTCTGTCTTACTGGAGACTGACAGCCAATGGCTCTCAAACTGGACTTTGAATCGCACTGCTAGAGATTGCTTTCGCTGGGTGGAGGGAGGCTGTTTAGACTTCGTGTTCTGTAGTAAATATCCCTTAACCAGAATCCCAAAACCTTAACTCCTCCAAAAATGTCCACATTAGTGGCTGAGAAAGTGGGGTTCGGTGTGCATAAAGTTTGTGTCATGCAGAAAATTATTTAAAGTAGGCTGAAGGAGTTATGCAATATTTCAAATACTTTGCTACGTGTCTTGTACGCATAGGCTGAGGGAGTTGTAGGATGTGTGTACAAGACGTATATGAAACATAAACAAATTATGTGTTTGAGTTGCTGGGAGATCTGGACCAAACTTGGCACACAGACCAAACATGGCCTTTGAAAATACTGACACAGTTTGGGAGTTGTAGTTCACCCTTATCCAGAGAGCACTGAACCCAGCCAACCTTGGATCTGGACCAGCTTGGCACACAGACCCAACATGGCCAACTGTAAATACTGGATAAATTGTAGTTCACCCTTATCCAGAGACCACCGAACCCAGCCAACATCAGATCTGGACAAAACTTGGCACACAGACCCAACATGGCCAACTGTAAATACTGGCATGATTTGGGAGTTGTAGTTCACTCTTATCCAGAGAGCACTGAACCCAGCCAACATCGGATCTGGACCAAACTTGGCACACAGACCCAACATGGCCAACTGTAAATACTGGCACGGTTTGGGAGTTGTAGTTCACTCTTATCCAGAGAGCACTGAACCCAGCCAACATTGGATCTGGACCAACTTGGCACACAGATCCAACATGGCCAACTGTAAATACTGGCACGGTTTGGGAGTTGTAGTTCACCCTTATCCAGAGAGCACCGAACCCAGCCAACGTCGGATCTGGACCAAACTTGGCACACAGACCAAACATGGCCAACTGAAAATACTGACACAGTTTGGGAGTTGTAGTTCACCCTTATCCAGAGAGCACTGAACCCAGCAAACATTGGATCTGGACCAACTTGGCACAAAGACACACCATGGCCAACTGTAAATACTGGCATGGTTTGGGAGTTGTAGTTCACTCTTATCCAGAGAGCACTGAACCCAGCCAACGTCGGATCTTGACCAAACTTGGCACACAAACCCAACATGGCCAACTGTAAATACTGGTACGGTTTGGGTGTGACTTTCCTTTTGGGGCAAAGTTGTGTTGTTGAGAATCATATTACTGCATTGTGCCCTTCTCTGGCTTATTGTATGAGCAGCATCATGGTTATACCAGGCATGGGCAAACTTTGGCCCTCCCTACCGGCTGTTAGGAATTGTGGGAGTTGAAGTCCAAAGCACCTGGAGGGAGGGCCAAAGTTTGCCCATCCATGCCTGATTATACCCATGTGTCGTTTTTGCAAAGCACATCTTCCCTCTCTGGTGTCCGGGAGTTTGGGAATATCTCCTGTTGCTTTGTGGGATTGTGTAGCTCTTGTGACCTATAAGGAAGCTGTGCAACCAGGCTTCCTTGTACGCACACATACCTGGCCTTCTCATTAGTTCAGTGTTTCTCAACCTGGGGGTCAAGACACCTGAGGGGTTCGTGAAGGGGTTTCAAAGGGTCACCAAAATCTATCATATTTCTGATGGTCTTAGGAACCCCTTTGGCAGAGAAGGCTGAAGATCTCGCCACCTGTCCTTCTCTTCCTTTTTGGGAACAGATGGCTAATCCTCCCACCAAAATCCCTCCTCCGCTGTGATTGGCTGGCCTCTGAGCCAAGGGGAGGGCTGTTTCTCAGACTCCAAGAAGGGAGGGGAGAGCAGGCGTGCTCTGCACATGGCAGCGTTGTGCACATGTGCAGGCAAGGGAGAGCGTGTGAGGCTGGAGGGAGGTCCCTTCAAGGCATGAGGGTTCTGTGTGGGACGTTTGGCCCAATTCTGTCATTGGTGGAGTTCTGAATGCTCTTTGATTATAGGTGAACTATAAATCCCAGCAATTATAACTCCCAAATGCCAAGATCTATTTTCCTCAAACTCCACCAGTATTCACATTTGGGCATATTGAGTATTCGTGGCAAGTTTGGTCCAGATCCATCATTGTTTGAGTCCACAGTGCTCTCTGGATGTAG